GAAAGAAAGAACTAAGATTATTAGTGTTATGGTAGTCACTTCTAATATTAAAAATAGAACAGTTAAGACGTAAACTCTGGAGAGTAGTACTATGTGAGATTTTTACTTTCTATGTGAAAGCATTTGATATCAGTTGCCTTCAAAAATTATTTATATGTGTTACGTTAATAATAAAAATTTTATCCAGGCTTGCTGGCTTCCTGTAAGCTCAGCACTCCAGAGGCTGAGGCTGGAGGATTGCTGAGAGTTTGTGACCATCCTGGTCTGCCTAGTGAGTTCAAGGCCAGCTTGAATTACATAGCAAGATCTTGACTCAAAAGACCAATAATTAATTATAATAATAAACTGATGGACACAGTCACTTGAGCTTTGCTTGAGATAATACAGAGTTTTCTCTTGTCCCATGGAGCCACCAAGGCATGGTGTTACAGTTTGAATATTCTTGCAGTGTTAGATCCTACCCTTCCCTTACACTCTCCATGAACATCATCATATGCTGACTGTACCAGTAAAAGCACTATGAGTTCTGGGCAATTTGCCTTCTCCCATCACAGAGAGGGCTCCACATGACCTCAGCTTTTATATATTGATCTCTGTCTTTCTTCATTCCCTGCCATCCTCTCTCTGAAGTTTTAACAGCTGCACCAGATGCAGAAAAACCTTAAAAGTATAATATGCAGAAAATAAGTATATATTTCTATATTACAGATACTAAATTTTAACCCAATACTAAAATTAACCCAAGAGCAATACATTTAAGTTCAAAAACCTGTCAATATAGTTCCACTACCCCATAGCTAGTCACCTGGCACCACTGCTATATGCTGAGCACAGTGATGATGGTTTAAAACAAGCCTGTTCAAAGTAAATCTGTCTAGGCATTTGTACATTCTGGTATAGTATAATTCTTTCAAGAGTCTATTTCAGAAGTTAAGAATTTTCTTACCATTTACAAGCTGACACTCTGAGAATTGTTCTACTTCATGTTTCATAAGGGTCATTAAAATGCAATTTAAAGCTTTTAGAGAAATATTATGCCCTTAAGTTGTGGTGCTCAGGAGTACCAGCCATTTTAGAGCTCTACCAAGAAATGAAAAAATGAAAAGTAGTTTGTTGCACAAAACCAGCAAAAATACATCATCCTAACCATGTCTTTAAGAGTCTATGCAAAATTAATTGGATGAAGATGTGATGGTGTCATACAAATAGAGCATGACTTGTTGACTACTGCTTTGTTGTCATCCAGAGAAGAAACTCAACAAGAAAACTTTTCCCATGATCAGTTTATCTGCAAATCAACAGGGTAGCTTAAAAAGGCTAACTTGGTGGTTATTAAAACAACTGACTGGCAAAACAGAACTGAATTACTATTATTCCTTTTGGCTCTGAAGATGTTTATGAATAAGGTGTTTCATATTGAGTATTTCTGCCTTCAAAACTTATGCAGGGAAATTAGACACTTAGCAAATATTTTTAATACTATATTTGGCCCCTCATAGATAGCTGCCACACAGTGTTAAATGGAACACGAAAGAACTGAGTTGACCTCGCAAGTCTTTTAGGCCTCTAGGATCAATATGACATCAAGTCTCAGATATAGTTAACTACCTTGAGAATGTTTGCTTTTATTTTCAGGATCTTTATGAATTGTAAGTCTCTCACATTTTACTTATTTCATAAGCACGATGAAAAATCCACACTAAAAATTTATTAGAAAACAGAATCATCATTGCAGTAATGAAATACAGAAAGTCTACAATCATAAATGCAATGTTTGCTGCAGAACTACCTAGGCTACAGCATGGAAAGCACGTGCTCGTCCTCAAGACAACTGACCAAAGCTGCAGCTCTCTCCGGTGCAGCAGAAAGCACAGCTGAGCCACGTGATACAACCAGAACTAGGGTAAAGGCCAATCTGAAACATCCACCAGAAATAGACCAGAAAATTCTAGACTTAGGAAAATTAGATAGGCAAAGACCTGTACCTGCAGGTCCTAAAGATGCCCTTCTCAACTAAAGAACACTGTTGCTGACACAAACTAGGGCAGCTGTCCGTGATCACAAAGAACAGGGAGAGAGGGTGCCTCTCTTTAGTCCTAGAGAAGGACCTAGAGTTGAGGCAATGATGGGGATCTCTCCACCCCAGTCACCAGGCTGTTCCAGGGTCAGGCAATGGCTAAGTCTCTCTCTAGATAGCTGACATCCTGTTAGCTCTCCAACTTGGCTTAGATTGGCTTGGGAGGATCCTGGAGTTTCCTAAGATTTAGTTGCCACCTTTTGGGAAAGACCTCATGCAGTAGTTTGCAGGGGCAAAACTGAAGCCAACAAGTGCACAAATTCTAATGGTCTGCAGTTCTCTAAATGATTCTGAAGGTGAGGCCTGCCTTTGCAGTTTGTCTGTGTGAACCAGTGCATTCACACTGGTGTGAATTGGCTGGAAAAGGCCTAAATATTCTCATATGTATAACAATGTCATTGAAGATATATATTTCTTTAGAGGATAAAAGTAAAATAATCTCTTTTCTTCTAAATTATTACATTAAGCTATGCAACAATGAGGTTCCCTCTCATCTTTTAAAAATATTCCTAGATTAAATGCTTTTCAGTTATTATAGGTATCAGCAATTTTTTTTCTATAAAGGGCTAGATAGTATTTCAAGTTTTGTGAGCCATGTATAAACTCTGTTGTATGATCTTATTTGTTTTACAGTTCCTTAAAAATGTTAAAGCCTAGGGCAGAATCTGGTCCATAAGTTATAAAAACAGTTCTGTCTTAAGCTTCAGTTTCCTGGTATATGTTCAAGACTGCCAGGTTCTCTGACACTGTGCAAATTCTGTGGCTAGTTATATTAGGCGCTCTGAGGTCAAGATACCAGCAGATCATCTACCATAGTCATGAGGATCAGGTAAGGGTAAGGCAAGCCTTGGCAGATTTAGGGAGTTGCCCACTTACAGGTGCCAATTCTGCATTTGTATGACCCTAAGTGTGAGCACCTCCCTACATTTTATACTATGGTATCATCTCTTGCCTCATCCTTCTCCCAGCCTGGAAAACCACCATCTCACCGCTTATCTCAAGGGAAAGGGAACTGGCTTGCTTGCTGTTTGCTACAGTGTTTGCTGCTTGCACAGAAATCACTGGGCTCTTGGCCCTGGCTGCTTCGCCTGGAACAGAAGCCACTGCATGTGTTCATGTTATCTCAGCCCATGAAATCACCCTCATGGGACTTGGGGGCAAGGGAAACCAACACAAATATGCTGAGGCTCATGTTTTTATTGTGCCATGAGTAATAAAAACCACTTGTCTCTGACCCAAGAGTCCAACGTCTTTTGCCAGCAGACATGAAATGCTACAAAGCTAACTGGTGGCTTATAGACTTCAAGTAGCATAAAATCACATCCTTTACACTCTTAGCCTACATTTTTTTTCAGCAAACACTCACCCATTCCAACTCCTGTGCTGCTCTCAATCATGGGCTGGATGGCAACTCCAGACTTATAACAGGGCAGTCTTTTGTAATTCCATCTCTTCCTTCTTTAAAGGCTGGAGTTGAAGGTGGGAGAAATTAGGAAAATAAAATATTATGTAGCAGCTGGGCATGGTGGTGCATGCTTGTAATCCCAGCACTAAGGAGGCTGAGGCAGGAGGATCTCCATGAGTTCAAGGCCAGTCTGGGCTATAAAGCGACTTCAAGACCAGCCTGAATTTCATAATGAAATCCTATCTCAAAAAGAAAAAAAAAAAAAATGTAACTGCATGCCTGCCTGCTGGTAGCAATGATGGTGGTAGGAAACAACCCTCATTTTTATTGATTGGACTTGTTTCTGATGCAGGTGGTCTCAAAATTGCCATGTATATGTGTTTTTCCTGAATTACTGTTAGCTTCATTCCAGCTCCTTTAGGTGCTAGGGAAGCCCTCTGGGAAGAGCTGCCTATGCTCCTTTGATCCTGGCCACGTTAGATGTTGCCAACACTCTTGAGGTGGATTGCCTAATTGACTGAGGCGATTATACAGTTTCTTCCCCTTTTGTAACCTCCATGTACTTTACAAGGAGTCAAAAGAACTCCTAATACCTCTTCCAGACTTTGAGCACTGTTGGAGTTCAGAATGGGTAGCCATTGTCCCCTCCCATGTGTACGCACAGCACAACAGGGCTCCCTCAGGCTCTGCAGACACCATATCCATACTGATGTCTCTTCAGAAACGTCTAGACAGCAACAACTGTTTTCTTCCAACTATATACACTGCTCTAAATCCTATGGGATATATTTTAAGCTTTTCCTAGAGCTCTGTTTATGGCCCACAAAAGTGACAGTACCAGAAGGATCTCTAAGTACTCTTGGTCTCAGATTGATCTCTTAAACCCACCCACCCCATTCCCTTTCCTTTTCCCCCAGGAGGAGAGTAAATATCCATTTGATAGTTTCCCCTTAAGACTAACAAGGTTTTACTCCTCCTCCCAGGATTCATCTTACATACCCTTGGTAGTAAAGGAAGCAGTTAGTAAAGCAAATCCTGAATTTGGCAATGCTGGACAATAGAATATGGGAGAATCTAGAACCCAGTACTCTTACCTTTGGACCTCACCAGCAATTTCATAAGTATAAGAACAGCTCCAATGAATATTCTGACATAAGTAATTTGTAAGACATGGATTGTTTACAAACACTTGAAATGATGATAGACAGCACATTATTAGATTCCACTCAGAAACAGGAAAATCCCTGCTTTTCGGTAGGTTTGGGTGTATAGATAATGAAAATGCAATGAAAGCTGATGTCAAACTTAAAGGAACTTTTGCAAGAGAAATTTATAATACATTTGAACATACAGAAAAGATGATTTCAGAAAATGGAAAAATAAGTATTTCCTCATTAGAAGCATTGTAAAACCACTTCCTAACTCAGTAGAGTGCTTAACGACTGTTCAAATTAGTGCTCATTGTTCAAATTAATGTCTCATATCATGTACTAAAAAAATACCTATTTTTGTAGTTTTAGGGTTGGCCTTAAGAGAGGTCTAGATCGCTACCACTTTCAGAGCAGTGACATACGCAGGAGTAGGAAGAACACTGGATTTTCCCGTCTTATGCACATAGCCACCCTCATCTGATCACACACTGTCATGGATACTTTCTTTACCCAACTGCAGAGCTAAGTAGTGTAACAGAGACTTTACAGCCTGCAAAAACTTTTGGGGTCTTTTTGAAGAAACAGTTTGCTAATTACCGCTGCAGAACATCATCTTATCTCCTAGGCTGCGGCCACGCTTGACAACACAACCACTAAACTGGACAGAAGATGAACAGTGATGAGAGGGGAAACTAAGGCTGCTGATAGGACTAGGCCTAACAGCCTTCACTTCATAAAAGTTATTTGTAGTTATATATACACTTTAAAAATGATTACACAAAACACTGCTTTATAGTACTGTTTTGAATTACTGTTAAAAAAGGTTACTATTTAAATTCCCCTAATAAAAAAATTTAATGTTTTATATACCTTAGCAGATGAAAAAAAAAACTATTGCAATTATCTATGTTGACTAGTAACAAAAATTGGAAGTCTGTAGCATTTATTATAGCGGAGTTGCATTTCACAGAATTGTACACACAAGAAAAAAATCTCATGGAGTCCAAATTATGCTTGGAAATCTAAGTCACCTTTAAAATACAGTATACAACATTTACAGACTATGTCAGAGGCAGATTCTCAATATGGCAAACACAGCCAGTTTTTCTTTCGCTGTTCAAACAGATGGCTCATTCTTTGGGTGAGCACCAGATGAAGTAATTGGCTTGCATTTGAGGCCATCTTGTATAGAAAAAATACTTATCTTTAAACACTAGAATCTCACTCTGCACAGTGAGAACCTCACACTGCAAGGCACAAAAGAAACCATGACCAGTGGAGATTAATATTTCCCTTTTAACACTCTGGAGAATACTCTTGAGAAAAACTGGACAATTCTCTCTCTCTCTCTCTCTCTCTCTCTCTCTCTCTCTCTCTCTCTCTCTCTCTGCCCCCCTTCCCTTCCTCCCTCCCATCCTCCCTCCCTCCCTCCTCTATTTCTCTCTCCCTCTCCCTCTTCCTTTCCCCCTTTCTCTATCTCAAATTCACCTCTGATGAGATTCCACAATGATTGTGAAAATACACATAACAAAATAAAGATCTTAAAATAGTGGCTTATATCTTACTCTTGGTCTCAATTTCTGCTATTACTAGAGTTACATTACAAGTAAAAAACACAAGTCCAGTAAATTTAAAGGGAAAAACATGTCTGTAAAAGGCATATCATCACTACTGGCACTCATAGTTCGACATTGTTATCTCTGCTTATATCAGAGCATTTGAGCTGAAAGAGCTAACTAGTTAGACTCACTATGCCCACCTCTAATCTCTGAAGAGTTGTGACCCTGACTGTAACTGAGTCTATAGCAAAAGAAAAGTAGCTACCTTGGACTACTTTCCTCTGATAACAATTTTCAAGCCATCATTTTAAGGCTCCATCTCCGTTGTATTTAAATACCAAGTCATTCCAAATAATCACAAAGGTTGTTTTAAACTTTATTTTCACACTAAGTTCACATAAAAGTTCTAAACAGATAATATGTGGTGAAATTCAAAATTTTTGAGTCAAATTTATCTGCATTTCACACATCAAATTTTATCTACATTTAAAAAAAGACATAATTGTCATCTAAACTGAGCCTCACATAAATCAAAGCAGATAGCTATTAATCTCATCCTACATCTGAGAAATTGAAGAATCTGATTCAGTCAGGGAGTACTGAAGTTAGAGTTGGACTCCAGTTCGTGTCTAGATGTTCCACCAAAGCTTCCTATGGTCATTGTCAGTGGGTGTGGGGGCTCAGAGGTGGTTCGATCTAGAGTGTGTGGCGCTGGAATTGATTCATGGTGCAGTGCTAGGCTTAAGGGCAATAGCATTAAAGCTGTGAGTGATACTTGCCCTAAGTAGCTGGGATAAAATAAAAGGGCTAGAAAAAACTGAGGTCATCCCTTGCTGCTTTGCTATCTTCTGCCCACCATGAATTGTTTCTCCTCTGTGATGCCCTTCTGCCATCTACCTTGCCTTGAAGCCAGCTAATTATGAACAGACACCTCTACAAACTGAGTTCAATAAACCTTTACCCCTGTAACTTTGGGTGTTGGGTGTTTTGTTTCAGCAACAAGAGAAAAGTAAGTAAAAGATAAATCCTAAACCAGATCTCCTAACTCCAAGAAGTCAAATTAATAGAATGATTTGTCATTTTTCGAATGATTAAATTGAGAGCTAACTTTGGTATAAACAGTATGGGAACATGAGAAGTATATAAAACATTTCCTAGGCACAGGGGCCGGAGGTTCAATCCCTGGGCCTGCTGTGCCGGTGTCGCCCCTGGGGTGTGCTGAGACTAGGCGTGGTGGTGCACACCTGTAATCCTAGCTTTTGGGAGGCTGTAAACAGGCAGATCACTATGAGTCCGATCTAGTAGTGAGACCCTGAATACCCTGTAGACCCTTCCCTAGAAAAATACATACACACACACAAAAAAAATTCCTAAATAATTTCCTATGTAACTACTGTAATTGTTGAAATGTATTAAATCTAAATGAGGAAAGTGCAAAAGAGCCCATGACCCAAGAAGCATCTTGGGAAATATCAAGTTTATTTTTTGGCAATGTGTGCTACAGAGGTAATGAAAACCAAAAATGCCATCCAAATCAATCTTTTTGTTTTGTTTTATTTTGGGGTTTTTTATTGTTGTTGTTGTTTGTTTGTTTGTTTTGAGACAGTCTGACAATGTAGTTCAGCCTGGTCTTGAACTTACTATGTAGTCCCCAGGCTGGCCTCAAACTCACAGAGATCCTCCTACCGCAGCCTCCCAAGTGCTAAGATTACAGGGCTGCACCACCACACATGGCATGCACACCAATTTTGCAGAAATAGAACAGTAAAATTTAAAAAGATTGTTTTCCTCATAAATCCCACTTCCATTTAGATTATTTTCTAACTAAAGCAAACAGGTCAAATAAACATTCTGACTTTACTTTCCTTGCTTTGAAATATCAAAATCAGAAATAGCTGTTGTAAGCAAGTTACATCATTAGAAAAATAGATATTTAAATTTTCCAAATTAATGTAACTCAATAACTCATAAAAATCATTTGTCATAATTTAACAAAATGTACTTTCTTGTATTTCATTTTTACACTAACATTTTTTCCTGTTGTCTTTTATTTATATATTGAGCTTCTCATATAAGAGAAACTATGCAGTATTTAAACCTGAGTATGATTTACTTCATTTAACATTGTAGTCTCATCTCAAGGTACACCTATTTTCCTACAAATGTCTTGAGTTTATTATACTCTATGGAGTGTTTTA